TATTCAATATGTCAGTTATTATAAACAAATCACGCTCTGCAGAACTTAAAGCGGCAAGCTCAGATGCACAATGTTCTGCGACCCTGGAAGATGTATGTTAATGCATACGCCGCAGCCTTCATCTGACGTTTTAATCTTTCAAAAGGGGAGACATGTTTGAACCTGCAGGCTGCCTAATAAACCAGTGAAAGCAATCTACTGCGATTCTTTTTCAAACATCCTCCTCATTACGTGCCACAGTTTGCGCTCCAAAATCCTGCTAATCTCAGTGGAAAGATGACGTGAGCTGATCAACATTAATGGATCTGTAGATGCAGAAGTGCAATACGCATGCAGAGAGTTTAGTAGTGAAGCAGACTATTTTGTGTCCGTCAATCAGCTCTGCCTCGCTGTGTCTCTGTGATGGCTTGATTAGCTGGAGTATAAAGCTTTTTAACTGACTTTCCAACTTCTAACTGCAGCAGGTGCAGTGTTTCCTTTGAGATGACATACGGCAGGCTGCTGTGACCTGCTGTGATTTCATTACGGATTTTTCTGGAAAATCTACTTATAAAGAAACAATACTAGCTATCAATGCCAGTCTGATGTAATAAGAGGATGTGAATGTAATGGTGTAACTGTTATAAAGAGTATAGGCTTAGACTGTTGCCCCCCTCTACAATATTATTTGTCAATCATTTTTAGCAGATGGGGCAAGAATTGCTGTAATTTATTTATAGAACGTGTTGTACTCTGTAAAACATCATCTAATGCCCTGCAGTATAATACATTCAAAACTCCACCACACCTAACCAAAACCTAAATGCCTAAAGCACAATTTCAAACGTTTGGAATACAAGTGTTATACACCCTCACGTGCAACAGGGGGCAGTACAACTAATACAATTAAAAGTACAGACCCATCATTTAGAGTATTCAACCATTTAATGTCCCACACACCTATCCTTATTTCAGAAACAAGGAAATTTTTAACAAAGGTAATACTCATTAACATTATAATAGGCCTAGTCCTTTGCATCCTAACCGCACCCAGCACCTCAGGATGTGTACAATTTGTTCAAACAGTCACAACTGCTTTCTGTATGACAGACGGTGATATTTGCTTAACGAGTTGTTTTTAAGAGCAATGAACCAACATAAAAAATGTAGATCACTGCATAAAATGTAAACAGTAATCATTGGTAATATGGTTATTATTTACACATGAATAGATGCATCGACATCAGTATATAATGCAGATAAATAGTAATATTATTATTATTTACTTATTTAAAAATAGTTTGGACAAAAGTTTTATGCAAAAACAATCATGTCCAAAAGGAAATTGCTGAAATTTCATCATAGAACGGTTGTTTCAGTACGTGACCACTAGATGGTGCAACATTAAGTAGGAAGAAGACAAAAAGTGTGATGTACAAATGAATTGTGCACAATAATAGCAAAATAAGATCAACAGATTTTGCCTACAAAAAAAATGTAAAGGATAACATTAATTTCAAAATAATAATAATAATTTACTAAGTTCCAAATGTGTTGTGATGCTCTATCATCAGAGACATTAGGCCCAACACATTATTATATTATATTATATTATATTATATTATATTGTATTGTATTGTATTGTATTGTATTGTATTGTATTGTATTGTATACTAATATTGGACCAGGACTGCTAATTTAAAGTTGCAAGTTCACATTCAGACAGGTGACTTGTGAACCACAGAATGTGTAAAATCAGCCCATTACTATGCTTTGCACTTATCTCCAGATTGCACATTGCATCTCTGAAATAATCACACCATAATTCAATATCTCTGCCTTTACTGTAGTAAATGCATCTGTTAAATGACAAGTAACCATTAATCTTTACAGAACAACTTAGATGATTAACACACACAACACAGTATCCAACAGCACTGGCTCAATATCAAACAAGTAATTTTTTAACTACCTACAGGATCTGACATGTTTAATCTGAGGATGACAAATGAGGATTGGACATGTCTGTGAAAAACGTTTTTTTTAAGGGGGAAAAAAGCTCCTATGAGTGTGCTCCTATAACGATTTGGCTCCATGGACAATATGAGAAAATGAACGGAGCTATTTTTACATTAAAAACATATCAGCCTGAACTTTACACTTTTCTGATAGAAATCACTTTCTGTTTACATTATTCCAATACTTTTAAAATCTTTCACCAGACCAGTGTTATTTGATCAATTTGGACTTTTAGTTTTGCTCTAATTACACATCATCCATCATTATACCTTCATCCTTCATGAGAGCAAAAACGCAAATGACAAAAGTAAATGTATAATAGCAGCACATTTTGACAGATAAATTGATATCACAATAGAAATATGACATCTGATAATACATCTGGATACCTGTAATTGACTAACTTCCTCTCTCCACTATGACTCATATTTTCTCGCTTAGTCACACCCTCTGACTATCCTAAAAGCATTTTAATGCACGTTTTTATTTTGCAATCTCCCTCCAAGTCTGTTTGCTGAACTTGCTATCAAGCTTCTTCACCTGTATAGAGCACATGATATTCCTAGTTTTGCAACATCGACATTGAACTGAATCATCATTGAACTGACTCGAGTTGAATAACGACAATGTCGTCAGTAGAGCTGCTTATCACTGAATTGAACTTGTTTCATAATGAATGAACTTTAGTTATTGAACTGAACTAAACCAACATATAACTGACTGGATCTGAATAATGGCACTATTGTCTTGCAAGTTGCTTTATAGCAGAATTTGTATTTGCCTTATTTTTGAAGTTTGCATCATTTATTCTGTTACTTTCCAGTTTAATAATGTGAGCTGCTTTGAAACACTCTCTGTTGTATGACTTGACTTAGCTGAATCAATTGTGTTCCCTAGAATCAATAAAACTACTGTCCCCAGAGCTGAAATAAGCTCATAGTTGCTGGAGCTCCTTAGAGGGGCCTTGAGGAAGTTAATGAAGGATAGGTAAGAGCTGTTGACTCAGACACTGGAGCATGTGAATTCATATGGGGAAAATTATGAAACCACAGCAGTAAAGGCATCAGAGATAAAGGGCCTAAGCACTGTTTCACTGTGCACAGTAACTTTTTGTAGTAGTGTATTTCTCAACAACAACAAAAAAAGTTGTGAATTTCTCTATCCTCCCTTGTTATTGTGTTGCTATGATATTTACAACAACTGGAGATTATCAGCAGTGTTCTTCAACTAAGTGGCTTATTTAATCAAACATTTAAACAAACAAAAATGTATGTACAGGTTAAAGTAAACTATGATATTCTTTGTTATAATATTTTAATGTAAGATTAAATGTATAATTTAACTGATAACCTAACTGCTTTAGGTGACACACCTCTGGATGGTATCGGCCAAGCCCATATGCATATCCAAGAAACCAGTTAATTTCTGTGGATTTTTTTTTCCACGCCAGAGCAGACAAAGAAATCCTCTCTCCTCTAGGTGTTGGCTCAGACCTTTTACCTTTATTCTACTACTGTGACCCGGCCCATCACAGTCCCAGCACCAACAACTGAAGCATAATTATGTTTTTTTGGCAAAAAGATTTTGGCAAGTTTTGTGAACGATAATC